TCGAACCTGTCCCAACGGTGCCCATAGCGCCGCCGGAGACGGTTACCGACGCACCTACGGGTCCTCTGTTGGGTTTGTCACAACCTGCTGCTGCAGCTGGTAAGGCAACGCCCGCAGTGGATTCCATGGTCCTCAATCCTGCAGAGTTAGAATTCCGTGAGTCCGTCGAACGCTACACGCGTGCCGATTGGGCGCGGGAACAGCAGAAAGAGCCGGTGTGTGAAGCCACCATCCGCTACATTCTCCTCAAACGCCCTCAGAGTCTACCTATCGATTTCTTTGCCAGAGTGCCATATCACTCCAGGCATAGACCATCGTTGGAGGATATTCGAGAGCTTGCAGATAAAGGACGCCTCGTCACAGACGATGGCATTTGCCTCTTGGTACGAAAGAATACCAAGCCCCCGGTGTCTTCTGACCGTCCCGGAGGACGAGCTGCACGTCTGTTGAATGACGAACCCACTCGTATTTGCGTGCCCATGTTAATGCGACCTTGGGTCATGCAAGCTTGTCATGCCAACGCCCTCTGCCATCTTAATACCGCTCGCACGCTTAGCTTGCTTGAGAGGTTTTACTGGTGGATTGGGATGAGTATCAGTACTCGTTGGTGGATTCGGCGATGTTTGAAATGTCAGGCCCGCAAAACTGCGCGCCAGACTATTCGCTGGCCGATTCTCACGATCCCTCTTCCTTCGGCACCAGGGGTCGCGATTAGCATCGACTATTTTGGTCCGCTTCCCACAACTCCGCGAGGTTTCTCGTATATTTTGCTGTTCACTGACCGTTTCAGTCGGAGAGCCAGTATGTACGCAGTGACTGACGCGGAGTTCACAGCTGAAGGTACACCTGACGTCCTTGTCAATAAATACATGCCTGTTTGGGGATGCCCCCTCAGCATTCTTTCTGATAATGGATTGCAGTTTTGCTCCAAACTGTCGGTTGCCATCCTAAAATTGCTGCGCGTCCGAAAAATTACGACGAGCGCGTACCACCCTAGCGGTAACGGAGGAGTTGTGCGCGTGAACCACACCATGGCCCAGATGCTGGCTATGGTTGTGAACGAACGACAAGATGATTGGGACATTCATCTCCCTCATGTTGAATTCGCGTACAACAACTCCGTTAGCGCTGCCACAGGATTGGCGCCCAATGAGGTGCATATGGCGCGCCTGCCCAGGTTTCCACTGACCGTTTTTGACAACATTTACGCTCGTGGTCACCAGTCGCTTGCCCGCGATCAGCTCGAGCATTGCAACCTTGCCGCCAATCGGCAACGGCGCTCCTACGAGCTAGTGCGTGAACAACACGCACTCACAGTTTCCCGTATGGAAAGACGGAACTCGAAACTGTCTGATGCCTTACACAAACTACCCGTTTACGCTACCGGTGGTTGGGTGTGGGTCTATAACCATTTGGCTACCATCCGCCAAGGTGCCAAACTCACTTCCAAGGCCCGCGCAGACGCTGACTCCCAGGTACTCAAGAAGAAGCTGTCCTTGACTTGGACAGGTCCTTTTAAAATCCTCGCAGTCGGTCCTTGCAACAAGGCTCCTGATGGCAGCCCGGTGGCTGACAAGGAGCTTGGATCTTCCCTCCGATATGCCCGGAGTGGATGCCAAGCACCGAGTTTCTGTCGCTCGTTGCAAACCGTGTGCGAACCCACACGACAGTGACGACATGCCTCGGTTTTTGCCTGCAGGCCTCACGCAGTATGTTCTCAACAACTACACGCCGAAGTCTCCGCCGTACCATGTTACCGTGGACGATTTTTCGGCGCCTGTCCGCAGGCTCGAGGTTGAGAAAATCACGGGACACCAGTCGGTTCGAGGACGTGGCGGCGTTATCGCAGTCATGTACGAGACCCACTGGAAAGGTCTTCTGCGGCCCTCGTGGGAACGAGAAATGGACCTCCAACACTCCCGAAAACAGATTCTTCTGTATTGGGCTGGTACACCCGACCAACACCGGCAGACTAACCGTCTGTATCGTCGCATGCGCATTGGCACAGCGGAACGTGAACTGTCTCGCATCAAAGGCGAGCGGTCCTCGTCGCCTGGGTGCGAACATGTTCCCCGCGATGTTTGGGCCCGCCGTTTTCGCAACACCGTGCTGCCTGTTGGCGCACACTTCTGGTACAAGGCTCAAGACGCTCTATGGTGGCTAGGGAAAATCTCCGGACATACTCCAACTACAAACGTCTTCTTCGTTCGCTTCCTGGATGACCCTGGACCTGTCAAGATCACCCTCTCCCCTTCGCGCTACACGACAGCTTTGGGAGCTGTTTGTGGTTCTTGGTGCCTTCAGCTGCACCGAAGTAGTCCCTTCATGCGAGGTATCTTGCGCAATGTAGACGAGTCGCGTGGTGGCTATAGATACCTGATAGCACTGTTGCCCTTGTTTTATGTGTATGTATATGTATGTGTATTGTTTGTGTGTTACATGTTTGTGTTTACGTATGTTTGTCTGTATGTTTCTAGCTCGCCCTCTCGATCTATTTTCGAGACTGGCTATTGCTTCTGTATGTTTCTAGCTCGCCCTCTCGATCGATTTTTGAGACTGGCTATTGCTTCTGCATGTTTCTAGCTCGTCCTCTCGTATAGTTTGAGACTGGCTATTGCTCCTTTATGCTTTCCGCTCGCCCTCTCAATCTCTTTGAGACTGGCTCTTGCTATTGTGTTGCGTAGTTTCGCGCCCCGTTTGTCACTTCTCGGTCGGTTGACGAAAGTTTTCGCTCCCCTTCACCTATTTTTCATTGCGACCTAGGTTCGCCATTAGTTGCGGTGACGCCCAAATTTGGTGCATCGTTTTAACTCCCCCCGCCTATGGTTTGTTTCGCATATTTTTGGTCCAACGTTCCGCCAGTGCTTCTATTGCATGCCACGGCCAACGTGTTCCGTCTTGGTACTTTCTTAAGCATTTTTCTTCATGCAATTGGCCTTGACGTACAAGTAGGATTGTTTTCCCCGCCCCACCCCGATCGCAAGCACGTTGTATCGTGACATGCGAACGTTGTTTTTGGCGTTGGTTCCTGTCCTTTTCATTGGCCATTGTTTACGTTCCCCAGAAACCCCCTCTTTCCCTGCTTTTCTCGATTTTGGTCGACCCCTAACGGTTTTCCATGTCGTTTGATCCTTTGTAGGCTCGGTTTTCTTTTCATATTCTTTATGTTTACAATTCAGCACTCGATCGCATCGTAGCCCCCCTTCCCGTAAGGTTCTGGCTTACTTGATTGCGTATTTGATCGGTTCATTCGTACGAGATCGTTTGTGATTTTCTCTTCACGATTTCGTTACTTCGTGTTATGGTCTTTTCGGTTCGGATGTTTTGGTTATTTTCGCACCCATGTGCCTTTTTCCGATTTTATCCACCGACTTTGCCGCCCCGGCTTCTGTGTTTTCTTCTTTCTTGGTTCCGCTTCTTTGGTTTGGTTAACGGAGAGGTGCGGATGAGGGTTTTGAGTTGTAGTATCTTCGATCCACCCCGCAATCCTCTTGATTGACTAGAGTCCCTCCGAGGTTTGCTTCTGTATCTGCATCTACGTCCACTCAGGGTGGGCTATTGTTAGTTATGGTATTTGGAGGTAGACATGTGATCGTGGTTGATCATGGTTATTTGGCGCCGTCGGATGCTATGACGTGACGTCATGCTAGATCAGGGCTTTATGCCGAGACATGTGCCCTTCTGTTCAGTGTGTGCGTACAGGCAATCTATGATCGTGTGTGCGCGGGATATTGTGAGTTGGCTTGGAAAGCGTTAATCAAGAGAAAGAGAACAACGGAAAGCAACAACAACCTGCTACTGTGGTCGGACAAGAGAGTTCCACACAGCTCAAAGGTGATTGATTCTGAAGGAAGGGATCAAATACCATTACACTACATGTAACTACGATTTACTGAAGAAAGAAATAATCAACCTGCTTCCTCCGTGGAATTCGCTCAGCTAACAAGAGTACCTCCGCAGATGACCCAACATCAAGGAATTCGCCCGAAGCACTTATTCTCCAAGATGTTGTATCTCGGCTCGCACTTCGTAGTAAGTGTTTCAACGGACCTTCCTCCGCCCATGATTAGATCCAAGTCTGTTCGTTTGAGGAGGAACAGCAGTGTCGACCATGGCGGTCTACATCACACGCTACGTTTCAAGTACAAGTTTCAGCTACTCGTTTATGGTTGAAAACACTGAAGGAAGAGTACCGGAGTAGCTTTGGCACATGCATGTCCCCGGGGTGGGGGGGGGCTGACAACGAAATGCAGCAGACAGGCATTACAAGGGTCAACGGGGTTTTCGGTAGGCTCTTCCCCATTCTGTTCGGGCGTTAAAAAGCAGAAGAGCAGATTGAGATTTCGAGCATATTTCGAGCATATTTCACCCAATCAAGCTTATTTGGTGAAAAAATGAGCATATTAGACACTTGAGGGAGATTCTCGAGCAGATTGGGCCAACAAAAAGTATCTGCTTGTCGAAAAAAAGAAGCAGAAAAAAACAAAAGGAGCAGAATGGGGAAGGCCCTAGTTTTCGGGGACACCTGTGTTCTTTGCCTTGGCAAATGCATGTCCCCCGGGTGGGGGGGGGTGGACAACGAAATGCAGCAGACAGACATTACAAGTGTCAAAGAGGTTTTCGGGGACACCTGTATCTTTACAGGAAATGTGCCCGTGCATAATCTGTGTGAGACCCATACGAGAGTGAAAGCAAATGCCCCTGCGTTGTCAGGTCTACCTAAACGTATGCGCCAAACCCAAGCGGCACAAGAAATTGCGCAACATAGCTGGTGCTTCACTTACCGCCCTTCTCGATGGACTTCGAAGTGAGCGAGGGTGCTCAATTATTCAGAACAGTGTTAGCCAAAACCATACACCAGAAGCACACCACGCACACACGATCACCGAGAACCTAATTGTTAGCTAAACTTCTTCGTCTCCTTCGTCCCTTTCTAATGTTCAACGTTGGCAGCTACCCTATATTATTGATCGTGATGATACAGAACTGAAACGAATTCCACGCGCAAAAAGTCAAGGGGGTGTTTTCCCCAATACCGGCTAACTCCGTCCCACGTCTACCCTGTCACCTTCCCGCCGCAGACGCGAGCAAACATTAAATATCCTCCAAAACGTCCACAAGTCACTACACCAAACAATTTGAAATAGACGACCCTGCCTGCCTTGCAGACTCAAACCATGTCCTGGTACTCTGAGATCCACAACTTCGGTACAGACGGGAAGCCGAACGGCAATAAAGGGAAGGCCACATGCACAACTCGTGAAAAACTCTGGAAGAATGAAACAAAGAATACGTCTACACCTTAAATACACGTGTGTCGGAAAAGAGTTTAGTCTCATCCACGCTATCGGTCAACCCATCACGACGTACCTACATTTATGGGATACAGCAGAGAAGAACATAACCAATCCTACAGCAAAGTACCGCATGAAGTTCCGCTGCCGATACCTCAATGGTGCCAATGATTCCGTCAGTGCACTAAACGAGGCCTATACCGCGCTACCCACCGCAGCAGCCAAGTAAGCGGCGAACGGCAAGCATCACGAGCATGCCAGTTCAAGACGTCCTCTCCTCGATAGCGTTTACTCCCGGAAGCTCCTTGCCCTCGAGCAGCTCTAGGCTAGCTCCGCCGCCGGTGGAAATGTGGGACATCTTGTCGGCGAGGTTGGCCTTCTCCACGGCAGCCACCTGATTAGTTCATTTTTCAGTTGGTATTTGCAGAGTTGGTCGCAGTGAGTGGGGAGCGCGCGAGGAAGGGGGGGGGGGGGGGGGGGGGGGGGGTGCCCGGAGAAAAAAAAAAAAATGCTTGGTGTCTCTA